AGACCTTGGCTGGAAGCCTTTTACTCTCCGTCCACCCGATCCGTGCCAGGGGGTTGGGCAGGGGGAGCAATCCCGGGTAGATGATAAATAAAAATATGGGTTTTTATAGGCATATGGCGAAGTTGTAAGATATTCAAGTCCCAGACTGGGACTGGGTCTCAGGGACTTTTTCAGGGGGATAAGGGAATATATAAAAATTCCTAAAAATTAAAAGCTTTCAGGGCCACGTGAGAGTTTGGTACACAGGGGTTTCTTTTCTCTCTTTGGGCTAAGAACAAAGGAAGATCCATCACTTTTGACAGAGGATGGCCAGTGGCCAATTAGAAAGAAGGGAAAGCCCCTTTTTCAGAGAAAAGAAACCTTTTTAGGCGAAAATTATATTAATAATATTAATATCATTTATAATAATATTAAGCTTATCTGAAAAAGGCGGGATTTTTTAAAAATGCATGAAATTTAAACCCAAAGGGGTCTTTTCTCCCCAAAAAACTCGGTGTGAGACCGGACCCAGCGCTCTAAATAAATTCTTTCTTTTTGTTTCATGACTTTTTGCCGACTTTCTAAATTCGAGGGAGAAATTTTTCTCACCTTCCCGACCGGCGGTGTGAAACCCCCCCAGCCCTTTTCTGGAAAACCCAACACCCCCACCTCCCTCCTCCAGCCAGCGCTCGAGGGCTGAGCAGAGGAAACCGCGGCACGAGTTCCCTGCCAGCCCTGGCTCCCGCTTTTTTGGCTTTGGGAGAGCTCCTGCCAATCCTGATTAACACCCTCTCCATCCATTCACCGGTGATAAGCCCCGGGAGCTCTGGGCCGTTGCAGCTCTATAATCGAGACGGTTTGAAAGGAGAGATTTTCTCCTCCCGCAGCCCCGGTTAATTCTCTTTTAATTGCTTCCCATTCTGCCCAGATTTCCCCTGGATTGCCATGGCATTGCTTCCTCCTCTCCAGCGGTGCTTGACTCGCGCCTTGTTTTTGCCAGGCTGGGATTTGGGATGGTTTGGGTCGTGCCAGAGCCTTCCAACCCCTCCGTGCAACGTGCCCTGAAATGCAGCTTTTACAGGAGCAAATCTCTGAGGACTGGGCTGGTTGTTGCTTGCTATTACACAGCGTGTGTGAGCACTGCTCTTGGAAAAAGAGATGGAAAAGCACGGGAATTAGACACAGATGGGGAATTTTAGTGGCAGGAAAACCACACACCTTCTTTACAAAAACCCAACCAACCGAGCAGAATTTAATGTTTAAGCAAAATTGTTTACCCAGAGGCGAAAAGAGATGGATGAAGCCTTTGTAAGCTGAATTAAAGTATGTAGGTTTAGTCCTTTTCCAGGGTGGGTTTGAAGCCATTCCCCCTTGTCCTGTCCCTCCATCCTTCATCCCAAGTCCCTCTCCAGCTCTCCTGGAGCCCTTTTAGGCCCTGCAAGGGGCTTTCAGCTCTCCCTGGAGCCTTCTCTTCTCCAGGTGAACGCCCCCAGCTCTCCCAGCCTGGCTCCAGAGCTGAGGGGCTCCAGCCCTTGGAGCATCTTTGTGGCCTCCTCTGGATTCTTCCCAGCAGCTCCACATCCTTCCAGTGCTGGAGGAGCTGGATGCAGCACTCCCTGTGTGGAAAGCTCCATGGAATGAGGTGTGGAAAGCTCCATGGAATGAGCCACATCTCACTGGGGAAAAAATAGCTACTTTATGTGCTTAGTCAATCTGTGCCTCTAAGCACATCTGAATCATAGTGATGCATTAAAACACAGCTCCCATCAGCCACCCAAATAATTGTCATCAGAAATGTGAGTGTTTCTATTACCATGGCTTTGGGTTAGTGATGGAGCACCAGTCAAACTTCAGTCAAGACTGAACCCTTCCAGCCTGTAATCCAGGGCTTTTCCTGAGTATCTCATTTCCCCTCAAACCATCAGGCACAGTCACTCTGCTTTTTCCTGGCTTCTGCTGAGCTCCCACTTGTGTTTGCTGCTTGTTTCATTTGCAGGTGATTTGCAGGCAGCAGTTTTCCCTCTTTGTGTCCCTGCAGGTCTCTGGCTCCTGCTGGGCCAACAATTGTCCCTCTGCAACTGCTGCAAGTTCTTAACCCGGGGCTTCCCTTTTCATCCCATATTTCACACCCCCACAGGTTTCTCCAGAGCCACCAGTTCCCTGGGATTCTCCAGCCACCCCACTGAAGACCTGCTCCTGCAAGAAGGGCCTCACCCAGCCTCCAAGACCTCACCCAGCACCCCCAGAGCTGTAAGCACAGGACAGGAGACCCCCTTAATTGCAACATCCCCGGATCATCTACTCTTTCAAAGGCTGGTTTCATCCTGAACAGCTGATATTTGGAGATGTTCATAGGCCCTGGCAGCCACAGAAGATCCCTTGGGACTGAGCCAGGAGCTCTGACACCTCGTACTGGGGGCTCAGCCACACTCAGCACACAAACCCTGAAGAGTTTGTGCTGGCTGAGCTGTGCCAGCCCTGTCACCCACCCCGTGGGCTGGGAAGGGCAGGGGAGGACACGTCCTGGGGGATTTGCCTCCGTGGAAAACGGGGAGGCAGCAAATGAAGCAGCCAGAGAAGGAGCAGGAGAGGAGCTGGGCATCTGCCTCTCCAGCACTTGCCCAGCTGGGTGTTGGGCCCCATGGGGGAAGCTGTGACTCTTCTGCTGCACCCAAAATGAGGGTGTCCTGCTGTGAGGGGCTGGCAGGGCAGCTGGAGCAGGAATCTGGCTGGAAATGGATGCTCCTTGGAGCAGAAAGCAGTCGTGTCTGAGGGGTGGTTGGCTGGGTCAGGATGGGGTGCTGGGCACATTCCCAGGGGCAGAAGGAGTCTGTGAGCTGCTGAGGAGGGTCCTGAGCCCCCAGTCACACTGATGGCTCCTGAAACAGGTCTCAGAGCTGGAGGATGTCTGGAGGGTGGTGCTCAGCCAGCAGAGCCCAACATCTCCCTGTCCAACACAGAGCAAATCCCTGCCTCTGCTTCCCCTGCTAGCAGGAGGCTCAGGGGGGATTTGAGCAGCCTCAAAGCACCACTTTCCCATGGAAACTTTGGCCTAACAGGGTTGGGCTGTTTGCAAGGGGCTCTGCTGGGAACATGTGGTTGGGAACTGCAACTACTTCCAAAGAAACATGGAAAACCTGGGCAGCCCTGGGTGCACATCCCCGTGGGAGCATCACTGAGGGCTCCAGCAGGAGGATGGGTTTGGATGCTGGTGGCCACAAATCAGCTTTTGGTTGTGGGATTAACCCACCCCTGCTCCTTGCAGGTGCCAACTCCAGCTCTGGTGTGATTCCCACACCTCTGCTGCCTTCAGGGCTCCTCGAGGAGCCTTTTTCTCCAGGGCTGGATGGAATCACTTGTGTTCTCTGAGCTTTAGTTCTCCTCCAAATTGGAAAAATAGCCCTTTGAAATTTTCATGAGGGTGGCAGGGAGCTGCCCATGAAAGCCACTTAATGTGACTGCAGTGACAAATGTCAGTGAGAGGCTCGTGCTGGGGGGAGGGCAGTGAGGGAGAGGGCACTGGAATTAAAGGATGAAATATTTATTTGGGAGTTTGGCAGCACTGGAAGGGCAACACACCATGGGCCAGAGGCACCTTGGGGCAGACAGAACTGGGAGCCACAAATGGGCTGTAAAATGCCATGAGATTTCCTCTCCCTCCCCACCTCCCACCCCTTCCAGGGTCATTTCCAGCCTGGGAAGGCACAAAGGGGGTTAAACATCCAGGAATGGCCCAAAGCTGTGGACAAACAGGCAGAAGTGTGGTGTGTGAGCCAAGGTGGAGGATGGGGAGTGATGGTCTGGCTTGGCTGTAAATCCCAGCTCTGACTGAGGGCTGGAGCCTCGTCCCTGGAACTGGGAGCTCCTGGCTCTGGCAGGGGGTGTTGGCACAGGGCAGCCTGGCTGGAAGGTGGGATGAAAGCTCAGCTCAGCTCTTCCACAGGGAATCAGGATCATGAGCTTTCCTCTGCCCCCAGTCAGGCTCTGCATGGGAGATTTTCTCCTCAGGACCCCCAAACTGTGACTCTGGGGGGTGACCAGGGCTGGAGACAACTCCCATGGTGGGCTGGATGTGTTAACCAAATAAAGAAGCTCAATAAAAATCCATCTCTGTGTGCTGGAGAGGCCCCTGGGAGTCCCCTCATCCCACTGGGATGTCCCACAGCACCACGAGGTCCCATCCCTGGGGTCCCACTCTGCTTTTCCCAGCCCTGAGAGGGGCCAGAATAACATCAAGGGTTAGCCCACAACGATCTCAAGAGGCTACAACCTCGTCAAGAGCACAGGATTGGCAGGTCATTAATCTCAGAGTTACTTGATAACTTCAAATACAATCATGTAATCAGCAGGAACCTGTAATTATTATTTATGTGCATGGTGCTTACTAAATTACAGCTCTCTCCAAGGCTCTGTGTGATGAACAAATTAATTCTGCATCAGAAGAGCTTGACCAGAAATCTGTTTGTGTCTGAATTTCACTTGTAAACATTGATGTATGAAATGAAATCCAGGTTTAATTGGCCCTCCCTCCCGCTGAGAAGCACATTATGTTTTTATTCTGCGTTAGCTGAGCCAGGGAGGGGGAAAGTTTGGAGGAGTTTCTGCAGCCCTGAGGGTGGTACTTGTGTGGGAGCCCCGTGTGGGATGGTCCTCACTTCCCTGAGGGGAGATGTTGTTGATCTCCACGCCCTGGGCCTGTGGATTTGGGGTGGAAAGGAGACAAAAAACCAAACCCAGGTGCCTCTGGAGCAGTGGGATGCTGAGCCCACTGCAGGGTGAGGATGCTCCTGTGGAAACCTGGGGAGGGTTGTCTTTTCCAAAAGATGAACGTGCCCCAAGAGTCCTTGTGAGAGGAATCCAAGTAGTTTTAATCAAACAAGACCGAGAACACACACACACACACTTTTCTCCAGCTACAGAAAGCAAAATCCCATCAGTCAGAGCAAACCACCCAGAGGAGAAGGGAAAACCAGGGATGTGAACACAGATGCTTCTGTTTGGGTTTCTTTCTTTGGTTTTGAGATTTCCAGCTTCTTTCCCCCCCCAAATGTAGACCTTGGCTTTAGAAAATCCAAATTGAACACGTAGTACATAATTTTTTTGGCACTTTCATTTGTGGGGATGATGAAAAAAAAGCTCCCTGGGGCATTTCCCCTTCTTCAGATCCAGCAGATCTTTATTAACCTGCCAGAGCACCCGGCAGAGAAACCAAGACAGGACAGAAGACACAAGTCTACTCCTTGTAGGAGCATCTGCAGAACTGGGAGGTGCCAGTTTTCCCCACTGCATAACTCTGGGGGGTCTTTTTCTCACCCATATATTGGATTAAGGGCAGTTTCTGGGACTGTTGGTGATGGATGAACTTGCACTAAGCCTAAAACCAGCCCCATGTGTAGGGTGTGGCCCTCACGTGGTCACTGGGTCATACTGGGAGCTGTTGCTTCTCCCAGTGCATCCCTGGGGGCAATGGGATATTTCTGTCTTAGCTGCACTGGGGACATGCAGGTGGGAAACCAAAGCAGGAGGGAAACGTGAGGAATTTGCTTCAGACTCCTGAATTTCTCAAATGTTTAAAGAAAGAACCCAGAGGTTTTTTTTTCCCTATGCTTTCCTTTAAAGAAAAAAAAAAGAAAAAATAAAGGAAAGATTTTCCCTTCTTTCTGGTGGTGTATCCTGAGGAAACCACAGAGCACTGTGGTTTCAAAGCTGCTTAAATCTCCCCAGGGCAGGACACACTTAGGCCTGTTCTTTATTGGGGGGAAACTGAGGCACAGAAGTGTGAAGGGGCTCCCACCACATCCTGTAGGGCCCCCACTGGAAAAATCCCTGGGATGCAGAGAGCAGACTGGTCCCATAACGCCCTCCTGGCATCTGTCCCTCAAACCAGGCATCCCCAGGCCTCATGTGGGGCGAGGAAAATGTGGCTCCAAGGAGGTCAAGGCAAACCCCAAACCCCTCCACTTGCATGGACCTCTCTGCTCAGCTGCTTTCAGTGACCACATGGAACAGGGAGTGGGGAGGGGGGATCAGGGACAATCTGGAGTCTCCAGCGTGGGAAGGGAGGGAGGCAGGGATGGAGGGAGGGATGGAGGGAGGGAAGGAGGGAGGGAAGGAGGTTGCTGCTCCTCCAAGGCACTTAACCCCAGCCTGGGGATGGTTTGGTGCCATCCCCTGTGCGAGAGCAAGGAGCAGCTTTGGCACTGGGCCCACCTGGCACGGGGAGAAGCAGGGTAGGGGGAAGGGGAGCAGAGCCACAGCGTGTCCCTGGGGTAGCTGCCTTTGGGGACCTCAGCCACCCCTCCACCACAGGGCTCCCCCAGCTCTCTGCGCCCCGAGCAGGGACACGGGGTCAGCCCGAGGGGCAGGGGCTGTGCAGGGACCTGGGGATCCCTCTGGGCTGCACCACACCACACAATCACCTCATTCTCATGCCTCCCTTCAGCCCAAACCCCTCTGGGGGGCTGTTCAGAGTCCCTGGCAACATCCCTGTGCTCTGTGTGGTTCCCCCCCCCTCTCCCACCCCCCATCCTTGCGGTCAAGGTGAGCAGTGACCTGGTCACACCAAGCAGCAGGTACAGGACATCTGGGGACCCAGCACGGGGCAGGGGAAGGGCTCCAGTTATCCCAGTGGAAGAGATGATCCCAGGGCTCAACTGAGAGCCCCCTCAGAGCTCAAGTGACCCCAGTGGTACAAAAACACAGCCACATAGAGCAATGTCTGCCATCAGTCCAGGGCTCTCCAACCACCCCCTGCCAACGCAGAGGGCTTTGGCCCCTCCAGAGAGTTTTCCCACACCAGCAGCATCCCAGCATGTGCTCACTGGAAGGGCTGACCCAGCTTCCCAGGGATTAGCCCCATCAGCTGTCCCAGCAGTGTCCTGGTGTCCCGTCAGCTCAAAGCTGTGACAAACTCAAGCCAGGCAGTGATGAGAGGCATCATGCCCGGGCTGGAGCAGGCAGGGAGGCTTCCTCTGGCTCCTTCTTCCATCCCAGCAGGTCACAGCGATGCCAGGGAGATGACCAAGCAGCCTCTCAGCTGTGCTGCCCTGCAGGTCCAGGCAGGAGCTGTGCAGGTCTCCCGGGGGCCGGGCGTCGCGGGCAGGACCTGCCCCTGTGCTGTGCCCCCTCAGGGCAGGGCCATCACCTCCCCCAGCCCCTGCAGGCCGTCTCCTGGGGCTCTCCTGGCTCACACAGCCGTGGATTGCTTGATGCTGTGGAAGCTGACTCGGGTGGGGGAGGTGGGGATGGACATGGCCCGGGCCACGCGGGCGCGGATGGAGTGTTTGTCCTGCCAGCGGTGCCAGCGCTTCCGCACGGCCGAGCGCACCTGGGGGCACGGGGAGAGGGGGCAACTCGGTCATTTGGGAAAGAAACAATCTGGGTTTATTACAAGCAAAGTGAATTTAGTGGGAAACGGAGGGTGGGGGGATTTTCTTAGGAGGCTGTGAGGTGGGAAGGCCCCGTCTGGGCCTGAGGCCAGGGAAACGTCGCGGTCGGGATAGGGAAAAATATAAAAATGGAAAAATATCCCCTGGCCACATGGTTGGACTTTGTGTGCAGATCAAATCAGGAGGGAGGGTGACACCCCCTCCTGGGTTCAAAAAATTACCTTTTAATGTAAAATACCTGTCACCTGTTGAATATTTAACAGAGAGTACAAAAAGAGCGCGTTTTTCAATGGGATGGTGCTTTTTCCAGGCCATGGGACTTGGGATTGCACCCAGCGCTGCAATAAAGAATTTCTTGCTGCAGTTTTCCTTGTCCTGCAGGTATTTTTTTGCCGTTTCATAAATGGAAAGCAAGGATTTTTTCTGACAGTCACCACACAGCCACCCAGAGCCACCAGCCACCCTCAGCCCCAGGGCTTCCCACCAAAAACGCTGCTGAAACCCTGCTCAGCCCTCCCTGGGGGTCCCAGGAACCCCTGTCACCTACCCAGGGCACCCAGCTTTCTTTGGTGCTGGTGAAATGCAGCCCTTGCACCTACCAAGGGAGATGAACCCATTAATTGTATTAATTAACACAGCCTTAAGCTGTGCCAGGGGAGGTTTAGGTTGAACATCAGGAAGGGATTCTTTCCAGAGAGAGTGATCAGGCATTGGAATGGGCTGCCCAGGGGGTGGTGGAGTCACTGTCCCTGGAGGTGTTTAAGGTGAGACTGGATGTGGCATCAGTGCCATGGGCTGAGTCATTGTCCCATGGGGGACAAGGTTGGACTCAATAATCTCAGAGGTCTTTTCCAACCTGGTCAATCCTGTGATTCTGTAACATCAACTATTAAGAGAGATGGTACCTCTGAGCTTAAAGTGGAAACAAGAGGGAGAAATAAATCTGAGCCAAGGGCTCTGTGGGACAGGCAGCAGCTCACACCTGCATCGGGTGCTGTGAGGGGCTGGCAGAGCTACAGGAGCAGTCAGGGAGGTTTAATGGCTGGTCTGGTTCATGCCAGTGGCATTCCCTGGACATTAATGCCACCCTCCAGCAGCTCAAGTGCTTTGTGTGGCAGGTAAATGGTGAAGAAAGGCCTGGGATGGAGCTGGGAAATGGGGGCTGAGACTGAGGTTGGGTGAGTACCAAAGTCCCCAGAGGTGAAGGACCATGGTGTGATGTGTTCCTGGGTCACTAGCCAGCCCTGCTCCAGTCCCTTTTCCTCCTGCATCAAACAGATGTGATTTGGTACCAAAACAAGCTCATCTGGGGCAAACTCTCCTGAGCCAGCAAAGGTGCAGGAGTGTTTGGAGGAGACAGAAGAAAGAGGTGCCCAAATAATCGGCTGCAGGATCAGCCTCTGCTCTCAGCTCCTTTGCTTTCTGCTGCCTGTGTTTTGGGTCAGAGCCCAGGAGGTGCCCTCACCCATGAGCTGGGTACCCACCTGTGTTTATGGGCTCACGCTGGGGATGGAAGACCAGGACGGGCAAAGCTGAGCTGTTTTCCAGTGCAATCCCCAAGGGACTGGGCTGGTTTGAGCACTGAGCACCTGCTGTGGTTCCTCCACCCAGAAAAGGGAGTGGAGAGCAGAGGCCTGACCTTGAGCTGGTGTGAAGTGATTGGGAAGGATTCCCCAGGGATGGGGGGACCCTTGGCTCTGCTGCACCAAATCCCACAGGGGCACCCTGAGAGCATCTGTTCTGGAGGGTGGATTTTCCTCCTCCAAAGGCAGGGGCTGACAGCTGCCATTCCCATCTGGGCACAGTCTGTGGCTGCAGATGTGCCTGGGGCTGGAGGTGGAGCACTGACTCTGCTCACCTTCAGCTGAGGAATTGGGGACCAGCACCCTCCAAACCCTGGGCAGTGGCAGAGCCTCAGGCTGAACTCGTGTCTGCAGACCCCCCCAAGCACCCCCCAGCCCCCAGTGCTCACCTCACTGTTCAGGAAGCAGTAGAAGACAGAGACAAAGAAGCCCTGGAAGGAGACAAACAGCAGAGTCACCTCCAGCAGACAGCCCCAGATTGGGAGCTTTGGAGCAGCCCTGGGGTCTGGGGGTCTCTGTTTTTAGGAGGAGGCAGAAGCTGGGGGAGGCATCAGCCCCATCCCTTGGTGGGGGGGACTGGGATGAAAGGCAGTGCTGAGGACCATACCTGGAAGGACTCCAGGAAGGAGTTGAAGTAGATGAAGACTATCCTGGAGATCTCATCCTCCCCCGGGTTGACGAAGAACAGCATGTAGGTGATTCCCAGCAAGGGCAGCAGCACCAGCGTGGCCTTGACTGCTTTCCTGGGGAGAAAACATGGACCTGAGCTGCTGCAGGGCAGCCCTGGGCACGAGGACTCTGCCCATCCCACTCCCAGCATCAGCAGGGACTGGCCTGACTGGGACTGGCCTGACTGGGACTGTCAAACCAGGGGAGGACAGAGCAAAGCTGAGCTGTTTTCCAGTGCAATCCCTAAGGGACTGGGCTGGTTGGAGCACTGGGACCTGCTGTGCTTCTTCATCCAGAAAAAGGGCAGTGGAGAGCAGGGGCCTGACCTTGAGCTGGTGTGAAATGATTGCTTGGCTGATCCAGGGCTCGATTAAAAAGGAATTAAGGAGGGCATAATAATTCATGCCCTTCAACGTGGGTTTATGAAAACCTTATCTCAGGTAATTAATTTGGTATCTTGACTTGATGAGATTACAAGTGTGGTTCGTGAAAAGCCAAAGTGCTGATGCAGGGAGTGTGGGAAGGCCCAGGGCTTGGCATTCCTTTGGAACAGGGGACAAGAACAGTGCCAAGCCATCGCTTTTTGCTTAAAGATCCTGTTAATGGACAGATTCCAACAGTAGCTGAGCATGGGAAAGTCATCCCTGGTTGATCTGGGCTGGGTCTGTGTTACATCCCAGGCCTGGAGCAGAGCACAGCCCCTGACACAGATGGGCTGATGACATGGAGGAGCTGGAGGAAACTGAGGACAGGAGCATCTTCAGGCTGGAAAACAATGAGAAAACATGTTCTTCTCATGGGAGCAGCCATGGCAGCGTGAAATCCATTCATTTTTTTACCAAAAGCCATCATCTAAGGTGAGCAGGAGCCCCCTCCAGGGCTGTCCCTTGCTGGTTTAAGCAGGACTGCACAGTTTAGAACCTACCAAATTCTCCAAGTTTTCTTGTCCCTTGAAATATTTCTGGGAAATGAATGTGTTCTCCTGCCCAAAGGTGAAAAATCCTCCCTGCCAAAATCAGGCAAATACCAGAAAACTAAAAGTCTCTCGAAATTGCTGGCTGAGGCCAACCAGAACCTTTTTCAAGAACCTTTCTCTTTGCTCAGCCCAAGCTGAACCTCCCATCCCAGCTCAACACTCCGTGAGGAGGAAAGCTGCTGTTTCCTCCTAACTCAACCAAAATTTTTCCATTCTCAGCTGAAAAAGCCCCCCCTCCACCCCAAACCTGCTTCTCTTGACCCAGCACCCACTTAGATCCCCCAATTCCTGCCCACAAAATGCTCCAGAGAGAAGCACTGATGAAGAGCAAGGTGTCTTCTCCTGTTCCAGGTACTTTGGAGAGCTGTTCTGACCACACACCTCCCGAGCTGCCTGCAAAACATCCCCCAGCAGGGAAGGAAGGGTTAAATCCTGCTGCCTTGTGCTGTGGGAGTGCTGCCTTCTTCTTCACAAGGAGGTGTTGGGGTGGCATCGATTCCTCACTCCTTCCTCAGCCTTTGCTCTGCTGTCAAGCAGTGATTTAATTCTCACCTCTGTGCCAGGATTTGCAGCTCTGAGCCTGGAGAGCTCATCAGGTCCCATCAGAACAGGTTTTTTTTTTTTTTTTTTTTGCAAAGAGACTCAAATCCCAAGGGCTCCCTTCCAAGGCAGATCCAGCCATTCACGTTCTCCATCAGCAGGCTCTCACTGATTTAATGGCCCTGTGCCTCCAAAGAGCATTTGAGGTGCTCTTGGGTGTCTCTCCGTGCTCCCATCACCTCAATGCCTGGCTGCTGGGGCTGTTCCCATCTCCCCTGATCCTGGGGGAAGCCAGGTCTTGCTGCAGGGTGGCTCAAGCTCTTTCTTACCTGTACTGGATGGTCTCTGAGGTGGTGGAAGCTCGGAGCTTCGTCATGAGGATTCGGACGATGTTGAACAGAAAGATGAAGTTGATCTGGAAGGAGGAGGGTCACTGCTTAGTGTCTGCTGCCCCAACATTCCCTCCCATTTCCTCAGCTGTGCCAGGGGAAATGGGAATGTTTCCTCCTGAACCTGATCTACTGCCTTCCCTGTCCTGTCCCAGGGCATGTGCATTTATTGTTTTTCAAGCACTTCAGCAATAAGATTTAGGAGTTTGCTCAAGGGATCAGGGCAGGAGGGCACACCAGGAGACTGGTGTGGAGGCAGGACAAGTGTCAGAGGCTGAAGGTGAAAAAGTTGGAGGGAGAGGAGGAATACAAGGCTGGGAGTTGCTGCCACCACAGCCAGGAGCTGTTTGGCTGCTCTCCCTCTGCAGAATCACTGACGAGGGCACGGGAAGGTGGCCCTGGAGCTGAGCACAAATGACATTTATTAGCAGTGACCTGGCTACCTGACAGGCTGGGAAGTGGGAAGCAGGATCAATTGTTCCAGGAGGCTGGTGATCAGTCCTCCCTTGGGTGGTTTCAGCCCTGGGCAAGCAGGGAGGGATGGTTTTGGGACCTTGTGCATGGCAATCCCCCTGCAAGCACAGGTTGGACCCCCAGGTTGTGACCTGCCACCACTGCTCTCCTTTGTCCCTTCCCAAAATGACAAAGTCCCAGCAAACTGTGCTCCCTGTGACCCCTGGGTCAAGCATCACTGCTCAGCCAGGAGCAAAGAGAGGTGGATCTGGGAATGGAGTTGAGGTTCCCAGGCTTTTGCAAGTGCAGAGCACCCCCCTGCACCCAACCAGTGCCAGGGCAGGGATGGAGGGGCTTCCTGATACATGTGGGAGTCTGCTGATGGGACATCCCTGCCACAGTGAGGTCTCCAGGCACATTTGCAGCCCATCCCAAGCTCAGATTTTCTCAGGAGGCAGTTTGGGTGAGGGCAGTGCTGCTGTGGGGCAGCAGAACCAGCCACAGCAGAGTGAAGCTAAAGGAGGGGGCCAGACCCTGGTCAGGAGCAGCTGCATCCCACCTGCAGCTGGAAGGACTCTGTTCAGCACAGGAGGTCACTTTGCTCTTACCAGCAGCACCAGGATCATGGGGCCTTGGTAAATGTAGTCAGTGTAGACTCCTGCTCGCTTCCCAAACCAGCACCTGCAAGGCAAGGACAAGGATAAGCAGTGTTTGGGGACAAGGCTGCCAAGGGGGTGACCTGGAACCCAGGAAAAGGAGGTGCACCAGGGCTTGTGGGGGTGGTAACGGGCTCCATATGGATGTGGGAACTGGTTATTGTAGGATAAGCAGGGACTGACCCCTTCATGAAGGAGGAGATTGTCCCTCTCTGCTCTGGTGTGGCCTCACCTGGAGTCCCAGGGGCAGTTTTGGGCATCACAATATAAGAAAGGTCTAAAGCTCTTAAAGTAGGGACAGGAAGATGGGGAAGGGTCTGGAGGGGCCACACGAGGAGCAGCTGAGGGCACTTGGTGTGTTCAGCTGGAGAGGAGCAGACTGAGGTCAGACCTCACCAGGGGCTGCAGCTCCTCCCAAGGGGCAGCTCCAGCTCTGGGTGAGCAGGGACAGGACCAGGGAAGGGCTGGAGCTGTGCCAGGGCAGGGTCAGGTTGGATCTCAGGGAAAGGTTCTTCCCCCAGAGGGTGGTTGGCACTGCCCAGGCTCCCCAGGGCAGTGGGCACGGCCCCAAGGCTGCCAGAGCTCCAGGAGGGTTTGGACAATGCCCTCAGGGACAGGGTGGGATTGTTGGGGTGTCTGTGCAGAGTCAGGAGTTGGACTGGATGATCCTTGTGGGTCCCTCCCAACTCAGGACATTCTGTGACCTTGCCCAGGTCTGGGTTGGTTCTGCTCCCAGCAAACCCTCTGGGATCCCTGTCCTGGGAACACCTTGCTGGGGTTGTTAAATCAGTGCTGCGTGAGTAGCACAGGGCTGCTGAAACTGGGGAGCAGAAAACCAGCTGTGGAAAACAGGACAGGCTGCCTTTCATCTCAACAGGCTCCTTTTAACTCCCCAGTTCAAGGTATGAACTATCAGGTGCCTGCTAAGACCTTCCTTTGCAGGTGCCTGTGAAAATGGACCGGGTGGGGGTAGCTCAGATCTCTGCTGGTTCAATCCCAGCTCCATTTGGCAAACCCATTGTAGGAGCTGTGGCTTTATCTTGCCTTTTTTCTCCTTAAAAAAGATCTCACTTGACTTTTGAGAAGAAACAAGCAGGGGCAGGGCTGCAGAGAGACCAAAGGTGGGATAAAAGAAAGGATGGAAGAATAACATCCTTTTTTTCCTCCCTGCCAGAGCCCCTGGCACAAGTGATCTCTGGGGATTTGGGACAGAGAAGGGAATGGGGGACAAAAGCAATCAGGCTCACTTCTCATTGTCGTAGTAGAGCTTCCCAATGGCCCAGGCCACGATGATGGGGAAGGGGATACCTGCAAGGGAACACTCAGGTGAGTCACAGGGGGTGTCAGGGTTGACAGCAAGCCTGTCAGCAGCCTGGCATTTATCAACAAAGCAGTGGACATAAACCAGATTACAGTACACCCCTGAAAGGAGGAGAACACAGCATGCAAAGGAGTGTGGGCAACTTTGAGACAGGAAGAAGATGGAAGGCAGAAATGGACTTCCTGTACTTTTTACAAGTCAGGATGACTCGACAAAAACTGTGTTTGTTATTTTGCAACCAATCCTGGTGTGTGTATACATGAAAGTACCAGTGGCAGGTTGACATGTGGATGGCCTGATGTATGTGTACCAATGGCAGAATGACAGGTATGTGACCTGATCTATGTGTACCAATAGTAGGGTGACGTGTGTGACCTGATCTATGTGTACCCATAGCAGGGTGACATGTATGTGACCTGATCTATGTGTACTCATAGCAGGGTGACATGTGTGTGACCTGATCTATGTGTACCAATAGCA